GAAATTACCGGTGACTCTTTTTTCCGGCACTCTTTTTTTTTTTTTTTAAAAATACCCCCCCCAGCCGTTTATAGTCGCTTTGTAAACAAATCTTTGCTCATTTCCTTTTACTGCTCTACAGATTTTGGTCATCGGAGGATGCTTTACGTTTTTGCCGTAGATCTGTAATCATTTATTCAATTAAGCGCACTTCACTATTTTTATTCTTTACTGCGCGTGGAAAAGAAATTATGAAACACAGGAGGATATTATTGAATGGTGTAATGGTCTGCAGTGTGGTTCTGGGGGCCTGCTGCAGCCTTGCCGTGACTCGCGCTTTCACCCGGCGTGGCAGCGTACAGCACCGATGATGAAAAATACTCAACTGTTATTTTAATAAAACAGACGTTTTGAGAGTTGATACTGATTGGGTTTAAATTTCAAATTTAATAGACTTTACAGAAGTGGATCTGGTGCAATGAAAGCAAATCTAAATTTGGCCAAGAGCAATTGTCTTCATGAATAATCAGTACACATCAGTACTGATTATGTACTGATTATTAGGTCATCTGGGATGTTCAAGGGAATGGTGCAAGACATTCCAGAATCAGATGATTGTTTCTAACATCAGTCATTGCTTTTGAACTCTGGCAGAGCAAAAGGCACATGCGTCTATTATACGTGTGTGTGTATATATATGTATATATGTATATATGTATATGCCTGGATATATTTTATAAATGCACATGATGAACGATGGGCCTTGGTCGTATGGCTGAAGCAAAGGGTGGCTGCCGAGAGTCTGTTCCTGCGGAACCCAGAAATTCACTGTCTCGTGGCACTTTGTGCACAGTCATGTACCTATTGTTCAGTCTTGTCCAGCGTGAAATGGGGCTATTTTGTTCCTGCATTACAAAGTGTTATGAGCTAAATTGGCTGTGAAACACAGACACCGTGCAGTGGAAAACAGAGTACAAAGGGAGAGCTTTTCTGCTGGTATGCATAGCGCCATACATTGAGGGTCTGACTTTGTAGGTTTTTATATATGCATCTTGCACTGATTTTATTAGGTCTTGCAAAGATTTTACTGATACCATTAGATAATAAGACTATACTGAAAACAATAGACACAAAAGATGTTATTTTTTAATGAAATGCTTAGAGGAACCTAAGTACAGAAAATACCTGTGGGATTGTATTTGAAGTTGAAGGTGTAGAACTAGCAATGCGGAGCAAACGGGACGACTGAAATAGTTGTAGACAGAGAATTACCTCTTAAATGATAATACAAAGGTAACTATGTTACTCGGGGATTTGGAGGACCCTGGGGATTACATTTTTGAATTTTTGTAAATGCCAAATGTGCAGACCCAGACATCAGGGCGGTACTTCAGTCTTAGGAGAGGACGGTTCTTCTTGGAAAATGGTACTTTTTGCAGAACTAGTGAGGAAGGGGAAAAACCCTTCCACCCTACCCGCTGCTGATCTAGCCTGGTGAGAGAGGGGCAGTTTGGGGTCAGAACAGGGCAGATGGTGAAACACGAGCTTTCTTAAGTTTGTTTTCCGCTGGGGAAGGTCATTTGTGTGCCTGATAGTTGTAGTATAATTGAAAGCATTCTTCAGCTGTTTTATCTGACTGTGGCAAGACAACAGAAAATCAGGGAGCTATGGCATGACTGTTTTTCTGAAGGCTGCCCTTCCCCATGCGTTACTGTGGGATTGTCTGTATGCTTGAACTGGAATTTTTCTTAAAAAATAAATTATTTTGCTGTGGCAGGATTCACCACCAGGTGGAGATTTTATGCATCAACTAACGTGTTTTTTTTTTTTTTTAAGTGTATGAACTGTCTTAAAAAATGCCACTATTGTTTTTACTTCTGTGATAGTTGTTTTAAATACCCTCTGATCGAGATGAAAGCAATCTGTGGAAAAGGTGAGGTCGGTTTACTGTTACCCTAACATCTATCACCAAAAGGCAAATTTTCAGGAGAACACTGGAGGAAGATACAGCAATCCATTGCAACCGACATACCTCAGTAATGGCCCTGAAAGAACTGGCGATGCAGCGGCATCAGGGAAAATCCTGTTAACCTGCCCTCTTGGTGTTACTTTTTTGTACTGTCTCCCCAAAAACTTAAGGCAAATCCTGTTGTCCTAATAATAAGCACTTTTCTGAGATGGCATTTGTGTGGAAGGGAGATTGACGTTTTGAGAAATGGGAGTTTCTGCCAGTAGCAGGCCTTCCCTGAAAGGAGGGTACAGAGTTTACACTGAGCATGGTTTGCAAAGCAAGCAAAATCTTTCCAGCAAATGCATCTTTTTCCCCCAGTGACTTTTCATGCATTTTATCTATAGCTCTGTATCAATGAGGAAAAAATAATAAGATTCCCTGCCTCTCCTTATTGGGAATATTGGCACCTCGAAAGTGAAATTCTGCTCTGCAATTCTGGGAGATTTCCTGACAACTGCACGTGAAAATTAAGTCTTAATACTATGTATCTTAATGGAGTATAGGACATTCTAGTTTTTCCCCCCGTCAGTAGCACCCCGAATGACCTATTTTCAGCAATTGTGTTTAAAGAAGCAAAGAGTGACTGAGTGAAGTTTGAAACTGTCCTCTTGCAGAAGGATTCACTGAAATCTTCTGCTGGATGTTTGTTTCTTATTATATGACATGATAAATTATGCTAGGCAGCTAATTTTTCTCTTTCTTACAGCTTAAGTGATACCTTATTTTAAGAATAAGCTCTGTTAATTCAGCCACTTACTTACAATCCAAGCCAGACAAAATACTGCTATGAAACTGAACTTGTCAAGTTTAAGATGTCGTTACAAACTGTGAAATAAAAGGCAGAAAGCAATCCAGTAATTATAAGTAACTTCAATATAAAAAAGAAGTAAATGACTTGGAATACTTTTTGTTCCTCTAAAATTTCAAATGGCAGCTGCCAAAAATGGAATTGAACAAACACTTGAGCCACCCAATTACATTATGCTTTTAAAAATAAGTTAAAAAAAAAAAGACTGTCATCTTTTGGGGAGGGGAGCAATTCTCAGGGATTTCACAGTGAGTTGGATACTGTGTTTGTCAGAGAAATGAGTTGAGCTGAAAAGCAAGATGAATTAGGATTTATAATTTGCTGGGAAAAAATGGTAGAAGTAAGCACTAGGTTTTATAATTTTGCGACTTTATAATCATAAGTTAGCTCCTAAAATTAGTTTAAAAATCAAATATTAAAAATAGCTTTTTAATGTCTTTTGTTTATCTGTTGTTTTCTACATTTCCTCTCTTTCCATAGAGCCTAAGAACTTACGGCTTATAAGGACTGTGTGATTTTATTCCTATTTTGCATCATATGCAATAAACATAGCAGTCTACCTTTAAGTTCAAATCGGATCCATAGTGAGTGAAAAGAC